AGCAGACCGTCAAAGACCTGAAACTGGAACTGTTGGGTGAGATAACGATTCCCGAGTGTATGACATATCTGGACAATGGAGTGGTGTATGTGGGCTCACGAATGGGCGACTCTCAGCTCATTAAACTCAAGTTAGAGCCCAACGAATCGGGAAGTTTTGTCGACATTCTCGAGACGTTTACCAATTTGGGACCCATTGTTGATATGATTGTTGTGGACCTCGACAGACAAGGACAGGGACAGCTCATCACCTGTTCCGGCGCTTTCAAAGAAGGTATTTGTTGTCCACTTCTCCGCACATTTATATCATATTAATCGCAAATGATGAGAATCTTTCCCCGACAGACAGTTTGCTAGATATTACTGTATTAGTGGTGACTTAATTGTTGTAATCTGATGTTAGCATTGATTATAATTTATAAAATGTATTGAAAATAGTGTTTTAAAAGCAAATACTTCTTATATTATGATGTTTAGGGTCTTTGCGTATAATCCGCAATGGGATCGGTATCCAAGAACAGGCGACTATAGACCTGCCGGGCATTAAAGGCGTTTGGCAGCTGAGGGTGAGCTCTGAGTTGGACAATATACTGGTGCTGTCATTCGTGGGTCAAACCAAAGTACTTATGCTTACCGGTGAGGAAGTGGAAGAGACAGAACTGCCCGGATTTGATATAACACAACAGACACTCTTCTGCGGTAATGTGAGGGAAGACCTGTTACTTCAGGTGACCGCCAATAGTATACGCCTCATATCGACCGAAACGAAGCAGTTGTGCAACGAGTGGACACCCGAACAGAACATATCTGTGGTGTCGAGCAATAGCTCGCAGATCGTATGCGCGGCTCGTAATCAACTTTATTATCTCGAAATTCACGACCAAATGATTGATTTGGTTAACAAAACTCAGACTGAATTCGAGATCGCGTGTCTCGACATCAATCCCATTAACGGTACGAAGAGCTCGTTGTGTGCGGTCGGCCTCTGGACCGACATCTCTGTCAGGTATGGCTTTATTGATAATAACGTCTTAATCGATGGACAGTTGACTAATGATTGAATTTATGAACGAATAG